TAGTGATCTGTTAACATTCACTGTTGAGTTCATTAAATGCCTATGTTCGTGCAAGTGACTAAACCATTAACTCTGGTCTTCATGGCGATGAAGGTGGGACTAATGAAAACCCATTACTGTTAAAAGTATTTTAATGATAAAATCTTAAAACCATATGTATCAAGGCTAAACAAAGTGCTTATGGTGACTTGGTAACCGTGGCAACCAAAGAACAATTTCTAAGCACGGATTTAGTAAATATGACCCATTCACTTTTATAAAATATGGTGTTCAGATAAAATGGGCTGTACAACTGACTCGAGTATAAATTAAAGGTTGACACCTGAAAATATTTATAGTAAAAGAGGTCACACTGATACACATACACACAGTATGGCACATGATAAAAACCAAAACAAAAAAAACATTTCAAATGTACCTTAAATGAACTGTGTACTAATGTTTCATCTAAATCAATGACCACACATTTCCTTCCGTAATCGGATACTTTCAGCTCTGGTAGGAGGTATTTTGTAGGTGGCTGCAGGGAGTAAGAAAATAAATGCAACCATCGATATATTATCAATCTTTATACGGCAAGGCAAATATTGCACAATAGAGATTTATACAGAACATGTGCGGTTAGAGTAATAAACCACTGGAAAGGAAAAAAACAAAGCAATCAGGCTCGATTTTATAAAAGTAGGCTTTTATTCTCTATCAATTTTTATTTAACCAAAGAGAGTATATTTTAATTTGATTAAATTATATTGATTCAGTGAGTTTAAGAGTTCTGAATCAGAGGGAGTCACACTATAGGCTCACTACGATACGTTAATACATTTGGTGCAGATGGGAGATCATTTTGTATAGCAATGAAGCAAGGTATTTGGTCACATCATTGCATTGCTCATAGAAAGAACTCTACAAATGTTATCCCAAATCGTGATGTCAGATAGTGTCACGTGTACGGTATTGCCAAATACACATCGTAAAGAAGAAAGGATATTCTCCTGGAAAAGAAAGAAAAAAAAAAAAAAAAAGTTTTGATGCTCAAGATTTCCTTCTGGAGTTTTTCCTATTTTGATGTTAAAAGAACACTATAGTCACCTAAATTACTTTAGCTAAATAAAGCAGTTTTAGTGTATAGACATTCCCCCGGCAAATTCACTGCTCAATTCACTGTCATTTAGGAGTTAAATCACTTTGTTTCTGTTTATGCAGCCCTAGCCACACCTCCCCTGGCTATGATTGACAGAGCCTGCATGAAAAAAAACTGGTTTCACTTTCAAACAGATGTAATTTACCTTAAATAATTGTATCTCAATCTATAAATTTAACTTTAATCACATACAGGATGCTCTTGCAGGGCCTTGCAAGCTATTAATATAGCAGGGAATAAGAAAATCTTAATTAAACAGAACTTGCAATAAAGAAAGCCTTAATAGGGCTCTCTTTACAGGAAGTGTTTATGGAAGGCTGTGCAAGTCACATGCAGGGAGGTGTGACTAGGGTTCATAAACAAAGGGATTTAACTCCTAAATGGCAGAGGATTGAGCAGTGAGGCTGCAGGGGCATGTTCTATACACCAAAACTGCTTCATTAAGCTAAAGTTGTTCAGGTGACTATAGTGCACCTTTAAAGAGGAAACATCTGCCTCAATATGGGGGGGCACCAAAGAAATTATCCCCAGGCCACAGAGAGCCAAGAGCTTGCTTTCCAAGAACTGTGGAAATAAAACAGACCGTCTACAGCTACATGACACAGGAATTAAAGTTTCAATATTATAGCTTGAGATTGACATTTTAGTAATGTTTCACTATGCATATTTAGTGCAGCACTTAAGAAGGATCCGCACGTGTTAACATTCGCAAAGGTTATAAAGTTGGTTCAATCTAAAATATCAAATCTATAATGGGTCATAGGAGATTATGCAGAGGCAAAACTAGAATCCACTGAGCCCCTGGTGCGAAAATTGCCCTGTGTCCCATTCCCTCCATCTCTCCCCTCCCTGTGTCCCATTCCTACCTCTATTCCCCCTCACCTCCCTTTGACCCATACCCTCCCTCCCCCCTTTTCTGTGTCCCATTTCTCCCTCCCCCCTTTTCTGTGTCCCATGCAGTCCTGTTTAATGTAGAATTTCTTATCTCCTGTTCTGTTACTAGCTCGCAAGACCCTGCAGGAGACTCCTGTAGTTCAAGTTCCAGAGCAGGAGATAAGAAATTAAGGTAACGTACATCTGATTGAAACTGAAACCATACAATGCACGTTTTGTCAGTCACAGCCAGGGGAGTTGTGGCTCAAACAGAAAAAAAAAAAAAAGTCATTTAACTTCTAAATAGAGAACTGAGCAGTGAGACTGCGGTGGCATGATCTATACCACCAGACTGCTT